CCAAGGAGTTTTGGATTGGGCCGCATCGAGATTGGGCCTGGCCTTTTCCTTACTGTTAGACCTATACCTGGGCACGAGCTATGAAGATGGCATTGCTGTCCAAAAATAAGTTGAAGTTTGTTGATGGCTCCATTAAAGCCCCTTCATCCACTGATTCTTTGTTCTCTGTCTGGGAAAGATGCAATATTATGGTACTTTCTTGGCTCACTCATTCTCTTTCATTATCCATTACTAGTAGCATATTATGGATAGATAAAGCTTATTATGGATAGATAAAGCTTATGATTTATGGGATGACCTTCAAGAACGTTTTTCACAAGGAGATATTTTTAGAATTTCAGATCTGCAAGAAGAGATTTATGGTTTCAAACAAGGGGATAGAAGTGTTACCAATTATTTTATTGAATTAAAAATTCTTTGGGATGAATTGAAAAACTTAAGGCCACTCCCTGCATGTACCTGTACAACACCTTGTTCTTGTGGAGTATTGACAACTTTCTAGAAGTATCAAAATAGTGATTATGTCATTCGGTTTCTTAAAGGACTTAATGATCAATTTGTTGTGGTCAGAACTCAAATCATGCTCATGGATCCACTTCCTCCAATCAACAAAGTTTTTTCTTTAGTTTTGCAACAAGAAAGACAGATGAATTTTGGAGTAGCTAAAGTGTTTGTTAACAAAGCTGTTAAAGAAAATTCTCAAACTTACAAACCACAAAGCACTCGGAAGTTTAATCCAGCAAATTCACAACATAATGGAGATAATCGGTTTTGCACTTTCTGTGGCAAACCGAGGCAGACTGTTGAAACTTGTTATAAAAAGCATGGTTTCCCACCTGGTTACGAGTTCAAAAGTCACAATCCCACTGCTCATAATGTAACTGTGGAAGAAAAAGACACAGATCTTCCCATGCAGTCAGATGCTACTGCCAATAATCAAGAAAGTTCTGGTGTTTCTTTGACTCAAGATCAATATCATCAATTGCTTGCTTTGCTCCATCATCTAATTCTGAGCAACCATCTTATGTGACTAACCAAGTTGTTGTTTCTCAACCTCAGTCAAGCCTTACATCTCATTTTTCTTCAGTTCCAGGTAACCATTTTGCTTTAACCTCTGCTAAATCTTCATTATGGATTGTAGATACAGGTGCAACAGATCGCATTGCCCACTCTTTGTCTTCCTTTGATAACTATAAGCAGATCAAACCAATCTTAGTCACATTACCAAATGGTTCTAAAATCACTGCTCAATACTCTGGGGTTGTAAGTCTCACTAAAAAATTGGTTCTTACAAATGTACTTTATATTCCTAAATTTTCCTTAAATCTGATATCTGCCACAAAATTAACATCCTCACTAAATTGTTGCCTGATCTTTCAACATTCTTATTGATTAATCCAGGATCTGACTTTGTGGAAAACGATTGGTTCAGCTAAAGTGCATGATGGCCTATATGCAATGACAAAATATTATGTTTATGCAGCCAACCCTGTCCATCAGTCTGTCTCTTTAGCATCAAGTACTACATTGTTTGATATTTGGCATTATAGACTTGGCCACATATCTGATTCTAGAATTAAATACTTAGCATCATGTATTCCTAGCCTTAAATATCATGATAATAAAGCTTGTACCATTTGACATTTGGCTAAGCAACCAAGATTACCATTTCCTATAAGTCATTCCAAAACTTCTAAATGTTTTGATATGATTCATGTTGATATTTGGGATCCTTGTTCAATTTGTTCTATTCATGGTCATCGATTCTTCTTAACCATTGTGGATGACTTTTCTAGATTTACATGGATCTATTTGATCAAACAAAAATCAGAAGTTAGGCAACTTGTTCAGTCATTTTTTGCTCTCATAGAGACTCAATTTTCAGCTAAAATAAAGGCCATTCGCACTGATAATGGTGCTGAATTTATAATGCCTCATTTCTATGCTCCAAAAGGAGCCTATCATCAAACCACATGTGTTGAAACACCCCAACAAAATGGTGTGGTGGAACGTAAACACCAACACATCCTAAATGTTGCTAGATCTCTACTTTTTCAGTCTAACTTGCCCAAAGAATAATGGACATATGCAGTACTTCATGCCATTCACCTCATCAACAGAATTCCTTCCCCTATCCTGCAAAACAGATCACCATTTGAACTTTTATATCAAAAATCTCCTCATTATGATTCATTAAAAACTTTTGGCTGCTTGTCTTTTGCTTCCACTTTACAAGCTCACAGAAACAAGTTTGATTTTCGAGCTAGGAAATGTCTCTTCTTAGGATTCCCATCTAGTACTAAAGGATTTGTTTTATTAGACTTGCATTCTAGAGATATTTTTCTCTCTCGAAATGTCTTCTTTTATGAATCCATTTTCCCTTTTTCAAAACCTGCAGATCATTCAGTACTCTTACCTCAAAATTCAACAGTTTTTGACTTAGAACCTTGTCCTTCTAAAGATACTCCCTTATCTACTTCATCATAATTACCACCTGATAATTTTTCTTCTACTGATTCCTCTGTCTCTTCTCCTGTTATACAACCTGACCGTAACTCAAAAAGGTTGAGAAAGCCTCCTTCATACCTAAAAGATTATCATTGCAATATGTTCACTGCACATGAACCTTCGGCTCCTCAGTCAGGTACCACTTATCCCTTATCTTCTGTTCTTTCCTATTCCAACCTTTCACCAAATCAACTTCATTTTACCTTAGCTGTTTCAACTATATTTGAACCTAAGACTTATGCTCAAGCCATTAAACATGACTGTTGGAGACAAGCCATGCAAACAGAAATTACTGCCCTTGAGCAGAATCACACCTGGACACTCACAGATCTCCCTCCTGGCAAGTCCCCAATTGGCTGCAAATGGGTGTTCTGTGTTAAGCATAAAGCAGATGGTTCAGTAGAGCGTTACAAGGCTCGGTTAGTGGCCAAAGGCTATACTCAAATTGAGGGTATAAACTATTTTGATACATTCTCACCGGTGGCCAAATTCACAACTGTCAGATTGCTTCTTGCTTTGGCTGTTGCTTGTCATTGGCACCTTAAACAACTTGATGTCAATAACGCCTTTCTCCATGGTGATTTACTTGAAGAGGTATATATGGTATTACCTCCTGGTTTTAATTCTTCAAATCCTAGCAAAGTTTGCAAGCTTCAAAAGTCTCTTTATGGACTTAAACAGGCCAGCAGACAATGGTTCTCCAAGCTTACCTCTGCCTTAGTTTCTTTGGGTTACACACAATCTTCATCAGATTATTCTCTCTTTGTTAAATATTATGTTTCTTGTATCACAGTTTTGCTAGTATATGTAGATGATGTTATATTAGCAGGTAACAATTTAGCCGAAATTGATGCTGTCAAAGCTTATTTAGATGATACTTTTCGGATTAAGGATCTTGGTGACTTAAAATATTTTCTTGGCTTGGAGGTGGCTCGTTTCCAGTCTGGTATTGCCTTATGCCAAAGAAAATATGCTCTTGACATTCTTTCTGATGTTGGATATTTGGCCTGCAAACCTGCCAAAACTCCAATGGCCTACACTTATAAACTCACTCAAACTGCTAGTGATCCTTTATCTGATCCCTCATCTTATAGAAGATTGGTTGGTAGACTGTTATATTTAACTTCTACACGGCCTGATTTGTCTTTTGCCGTTCAACAACTTAGTCAATTTCTTGACAAGCCTACATTGGTTCACCAGCAAGCTGCTCATCACGTTCTTCGATATATAAAGAACTGTCCTGCTTCTGGTTTATTTTTCCCAGCTGAATCATCTCTTTCCCTCAAAGCTTTCAGTGATTCTGACTGGGCTGGATGTTCTGATACACGGAAATCTATCACAGGTTCATGTGTTTTCCTTGGATCTTCCTTGATTAGTTGGCGTGCCAAGAAGCAATCTACTGTCTCTCATTCTTCATAAGAAGCTGAATACCGTGCTCTTGCATCCACAACATGTGAAATTCAATGGATTCTTTACTTGCTAAAGGATCTTCACGTTACTCACTTAGGCTCAGCTCTTCTTTTTTGTGACAACAAATCAGCTCTTCAGATTGCTGCCAATCCCACCTTCCATGAACGTACCAAACACATTGAAATTGACTGCCATATTGTCAGACAGAAAGTTCAAGACGGTTTGATTTATCTCATGCCATGCTCTTCTTCAGATCAGTTAGCTGACTTGTTCACAAAAGCCCTGCCACCTGCTCAATTCCATACCAATTTATCCAAGCTGGGAATGCTTAGCATCCATTCTCCAGCTTGCGGGGGGATGTTGAAGAATAAAGACGAAGATGGTTAGCTGAGTTAGTTAGCTGTTAAGAAGTTAGTTTCAAGTAGTTATTAGTTTGTTATAATGTTAGTTAATCAGTTAAAACAGTTAGTGTTTGTTAAGTTTGTTATAAGTTTGATGTATATAAAGAATACACTGTTGTACTCTGTTTCTTAATTCAAAATGAATTCAATATCATTTTTCCATATCTGAGTTAGTTTCATCACACTTTTTTGAAAATGGTAAACCACAAGCTTCCTAAATAAGAATCATTTTGAAATGTATCAAATTGCTTTCCTTGAGGTATAGATCCCACAAGCTTGTTGGAAATGTAAGATTTTTCAATTCTCTAGGAATCTCTCCTACAAGCTTGTTGGAAAAGAGATCTAAAGCTTCAAGCTCCATCAAATTTCCAAATGATGATGGAATATGACCGGTTACGGAAATGTGAGAAAAATTGAGCTAGTTGAGTGAATTAAGCTTTCCATCTGGTATTCATCCCTAGAATTGGTTGTTTGACAAATCAATAATGTTAAAATGGTTAGGATTCTCACCATTTCAACATTAATTCCTTTCACTGTCAAAACTGTAGAATAATATTGACCATGTGAACCCATATATTGCGCCGCACCACTGCTATTATCCCTGCTCATCATAGCTTTAAAATTTTTAAGATATGATGTTGGAAAATTGCCAATTAATGTATTATGAGAAAGATCAAGTATTCATAACATTGGGAATGGACATCTTGTATTCAAATTGCGAATGGGACTCTGAAAACTATTCGATCTCAACAAAAGAACTTGCAGTTTTGGAAGAGTAGCTAACCAGTGAGGAAATTTATCATTAATCTTGTTATTTCCGACATCTGGAACTTCCAAGCTGCTACATTTAGCCAAAGATTGTGGCAATGTTCCCTCCAACGGATTGGAATTTAAGTTGAGAGTTGTCAAAGCTCTATTCATCGTAAGATCCAGTAGGAAGATCTTGTCATGGTTTCCAAGACATTGTAGACTCCTTCTACTCAAGTTCAGATACTCAATAGTGCCCGAACCACAAGTCCATGAAGGGGTCTCTCCTGTCAATTTATTGTTTGAAACTGAGAAGCATTTCCTAGAAAGTGGTAGAAGCAAAAGGGGTCCTTGAAGCAAGTTGGAATGAAGATCAAGAAATTTAGACGCTTTGCCAATCTATACTGAAAATTTGTCAACAAATTGTGAGAAAGATCCAGATATTGCAATTTGTACCACGATCCTGTCTCCCGTTGGGAAATTCTACCAGAAATTTTGTTATAGGAAAGGTCTAAAATCATCAATTATGTTGAGGTTCTTAAGAAAACAGGGAATTCTCTTATGTTTCAGGAAGAGAATTCGAAAACTTTGAGCCTGGGCAAGATAAAGTTAAAATTGGTTTGGGTTCTTAGTGACAGTAGACAGTGATTTGAAAGATCCATAACCTCCACGTTTTGGAACTTTGAAAAAAATTCTGACCTAACAATGCCAGTGAAGTTCTTTGATGAAAGATCAAGAAAAGAAAGATTCAAAGATTCAAAGGTTGAAGTATGGGATTTGGAATTGGACCAGTGAACTTCTTGTTTTACGGTCTAATTATTGCAAAGATGGCAAAGTAAACAACAAAGACGACACTCTTCCATTTAGAAAATTATTAGATAATTTGAGAATGGACAGAGATGAATGGCCACTTCAAGGAAGATGACCCGCAAATTCATTGTGTGAAAAGTGTAAATGAGAAACCTGAGTGAGATTGAATGCTGATAATGGCAGTTGACCACTAAAATTGTTATCAAAGAGATATATTTCAATCACTTTGCTAAGGTTGCCCAAAACATCTAGAAATTGTCCGAAAAAACTGTTGTGTACAAATGATAGACGAGTGGGCTTCCTGAGGTTAGATAGCAATGTAGGGACTTGGCCAGTAAAATTGTTGAATGTCAAATCCAAAATGGTGATACTTGTGAGGTTCCAAAGTGATCCTGGATTTGAATCCGTGAACTTGCAATAAGAAAGATCTAACATATTCAAGTGTATAAGATTTTCGATTTTTTCAGGTAATATTCCTGAAAATTTTGTGGAAGATAGATCTAACAATCTCAAGGGACTACTCCAGTTAGACTCTAGTAAATTGCCTATGAGACCTCCGTTTCTAGACAAACTTAGGTACTGAAGAAATGGAAGGCGGAAAACACCATTCAGGAACTCGTGTCGCAGCTGAGTATTACTAAGACTCAGAGATATCAAAAAAGAAGAAAAATTCACCAAGGAACTAGGCACAACAGGAGACATGTTCACATTGTCAAGAAGAAGATATCTTACTTCTGTGAGGTTTTGCAAGATCTTATTAAAACAATGTTGGCCAATTTCTAGTCCATGACCAACATTATTGTCAGAGAGATCACGTGAACCCAGCTTGGAGAGGTGAGATATTTCACTTGGAACTAATCCAGAGAAATTAGATGAAGAAAGATTAAGATGTATCAATTTTGCGAATTGATGTGATTTCAGAAAACATGAAATCATTACAAGCAAGATTGAGGCTACGGAGATGATGAAGAAGGAAGATGCTACTGTTGACATGGATTTTGCAATCAGCTGACTAGAAATAACGTCAAGACCGATCACATGACCTGTTGACTGATCACAAGTGACCCCATTCCATGAGCAGCAATCACTATTGCAGAACTCTGTTTTTGGAAAAGAATCAACATTATTGCAGTGAATAGAGGCAGAATTGTGAATTAAAGAGGCATTCTTGAAATGAAGTAACACAAAACTTTGGTCAGAAGAACAAAGTTATGGTGATGGAGAAGAACATTTAGAAGTAACTTAGAAAATAGCTTGTAGATGGAAGAACAAGACGAGGAGGCAGAAGACTAGATATTAAACGGCAAACCCCACATACTTTTCTTTCTATGAAACGAAAGAAAAGATAATTCGAATATCTTTGTTGAGGAGAAATGAATGTGAATATGTGTACATATAGACATAGTGAGAAAAGAGAAAAGAGCAGCCAGAGAGAGAGACGTAAGAATATTAAGCTTGAATGGAAGATATTGTTCATATTACAAAACAATTAATTTATACACATTTACATAACTAATTCAGGAGGCTTCTTGATCAATTTACAAAACTTGGTGGGCAAGAACAGTAATGAGAGGTTTTAGGGTTTTAGGACCACAAGAATCTCAAGTTGTTAGAGAGTTGGCGGATGCACACACATGTCACCAATGTTGTCTCCCTAGTGTGTTGCCATCTGTCCATTGTCTATCTTCTTCACATTCCCCCTCAAACTAAGGTCTTTGTGTAGGACCTTAGTTTGTTTCTCATCCATTCAAAGTGGTTCTTAGGACTTAGCTTTGTGAATATGTCTGCTACTTGTTCTTTTGATGGAATGTAGATGACTTCAACGTCTCCATTATTCACAATTTCTCTTATAAAATAAATGTCTACCTCAGTATGTTTGGTTTTCCCATGCAAGATAGGATTCAAAGTGAGGGCTGCGACACTAACATTATCACACCAGATTCTTGGTGTTGAAGAACTCCATATTTTCAGTTCTGAGAGTAGAGAAGTTAGCCAGGCTATTTCGGCACTAGTTTGAGTAAGAGCTCTGTATTCACTTTCAATGCTTGATCTGGACACCCCTCTTTGTTTCCTTGAACTCCATGCTATTGGATTTTCATTTAACATAATACAGTAGCCTCTTGTAGATTTCCTGTCCTCAGTGTCACAAGCCCAATCTGAATCAGAATAGGCTTGGATTTCACACTTTCCCTCTAGGTGTTACATTATCCAGAAAAAGGGCAATATCAACACTAATTAATTATTATTAAACTTAGTACCACATTTTTATAGGATTAGTTTATTATTTCATTTATTCTGAGAATTACAACTCCACCTTAGGTTTGTTTGAGATTCCATACACCCCTTATAGTTTGAAAATCATCGCTCACCTCCCCTCATAAATGTTGACTTCTAAGAAGATTTTGCTTAATATTTACAAATCAGCCTAATATTTTAACTAACCATTGCTAATTACATCTAAAACCTCTATCAAGATCGTGTCGAGTTCTCAATGACCTTTGTTAAGATTTTTCTGAATTCTTGATTATCTCTCCTCAGACTTTGCTTAATTATTACTTACCTCCTTTCATATTTTGCTTAATCATTGCTAATCTGACCTCAAACCTACCCTTTTAAGGGAGCTTTGGAGGGCAACGATATTACAACATAGGTCAACGGCACTACTACAAGGGAGGTCAATGATAGTTTTCAAATTGTAGAAGATAGTTGAGAATTACACTAAAAGTAAGGGTATGCACAACGTTTTAGCCCATATTTAATATTTTTATTTAATTAATCCTCCATAAAGGAAGGAATAATATGAATAGAATAACAAAAAAGAGCAATTAATCATGTGTGGAAAGGTCCACAAGAAGACTTGGCAAACCTTCTTTTGAACTCTTTAAATCATGTGCTTCCTTCAGACACGCTTATCTTCAAACTAGAAAATCCACACAATCAAATTACAATGAAAAACAAAAAAAAAAAAAAAAAAGTTTTTTTTTTTTTTTTTATTTAACAAACCGACTTGATAAATTTTCCAGGAAAGTATCAGTTCCCATGAAAGCTCAACTTCAGGGCATTGTTCGACCCTTTTCCCTTCCTCTATATAATAACACTCCTCCTTCTTTCCCTCTCCTAAGACCTCTCCTCTCTTCACACCTTTCTTCTTCACGTTCTACCACCAAACACAAATTCTCAGTGTCCATGGCTACTTGTATCGACACCTCTCAACTTTCCCAGGAGCCAAACGGCCGGTCCACAAACGATGACCATGCATACGACTATGTCAAAACCTGTCGCCCAAGTTTTTCTGATCGTGTTTCTTGCATACCCTTCAACAAGAACCACACAAAAACCATGCACACGCGTGGGGTTATTAACAATCATGATAATCGGGATCGTGATGATCAAGATCTATGGCTGAAAATGCTAGATGAAGCAAGATCAGACGTCGAACAAGAGCCCATCTTGTCAAACTACTACTTCACTTCAATTTTGTCGCATAAATCACTCGAAAGCGCTTTGGCGAATCTTCTTTCCATCAAACTGAGCATTTCAAGTCTCCCTGAAGGTACGTTGTATGATATTTTCATAGGCGTGCTTGTAGAGGATCAAGAAACCCTCGTTAGAGCTCTGAAAGCTGATTTGAGAGCGGTTAAAGAGAGAGACCCCGCTTGCATAAGTTATGTGCATTGCTTGTTGAATTTCAAAGGGTTTCTCGCATGTCAGGCGCATAGAATTGCGCATAAACTTTGGTACCAGGGCCGAAAAGTCTTGGCCTTGTTGATACAGAACCGGGTTTCTGAAGTTTTCGCAGTTGATATTCATCCTGGAGCAAAAATGGGAAGTGGGATCTTGTTTGATCACGCCACTGGAGTTGTGATTGGAGAGACGGCTGTGATTGGGGACAAAGTTTCGATTTTGCATAATGTAACATTGGGGGGAACTGGGAAGGCGTCTGGTGACAGGCATCCAAAAATTGGTGATGGGGTTTTGATTGGCGCGGGGACTTGTATTTTGGGGAACATTAGGATTGGTGAGGGGGCAAAAATTGGGGCGGGTTCGGTTGTGTTAAAGGATGTGCCGACGAGAACTACGGCTGTTGGTAACCCGGCTAGATTGGTTGGGGGGAAGGAGAATCCAACTAGGCTTGATAAGATTCCTAGTTTTACAATGGATCAAACTTCGCATATTAATGAATGGTCTGATTATGTTATATAGAGGGCTCCTTTTTGTAGCTTGTTTGTGGTTTTTAGTGAGAACTGAAGTTCTCCTATTACCAACAGAAGAATTTGAGGATCATATATGATGATGATATGTAGTACTTTTGATGTAATTACAATGATAAAATAAGATCTGTATTGGCATATTTTCTCTGTGGTCTTGGTATGGTTTGTTGTAATTTGCTTGTTTGTTTACCAGAATATGCATTTTTAGTTATGTAACTTTTGGTAGTGACTGTGGGAGCTCTGTTTTAGAAGCAGAGCACCAGAATCCTTGAGTTGAAAACAAAAATGTAGGCTGCAGACATTGTTGAGAATGGAAAATAATTCTAACTCTACTAGAGATTTCATCAATCTTTCACCTTTTTACTAGGACAATGTTCTGGTCTTTACATTTTGTAACCCCCAGAGGCAGGGGAGGGCAAATATTAGCAAAAACAACTAGAAAAAACTGTTATTTTGCTGTAAGTATTTCAGTGTAAAATTTGAAGTTCAGACTTCATTTCATCACCAACACAAAATTCTTTGCTTAAGTAGTGGTACTAGCAACTCATGGTTAGATTCTGAAGCAGGAGTTAAGCTGTGTAAACAAAAGCAAGTAGTACTTGAGTATTTCTGAGCGGACTACTTGTCATTGATTGATTAAAGATCCTGTGATGTGAATTAAAAATATATGGGAAATTGCACTCACAGCCCTTGAGTTTAGTGGAAAATTATCTGGACCTATAGTTTTAGCAGTCGCAGATGATTGATGAAATCAAAACTTCGGTTTGGTGTCAAAAACTGTTGTTTCTTCAGTGATTCTTCACCATAAACTTCAATGGACATAATGTAAATTAACTCAGGGCATCGTCTCCCTCAAAACATTCACCCTTTTCTTTCTGTCTCTTCCTCATCAAAGTCTAAGAGACTGGACAACAAAATATGATTCTATATGTCATTTACATATGCTAATCAAGTAATGAAAACTCTTGATCTTAACTTTGCTCAAATGGTGTTTTTCTCCTTGCTGCACATATATAGTACTTTACGGTTCCACAGACATTGTCTTTTCACCACATGGAAGCTATTGGAAAAAGCTGAGAAAAATTTCATAAATCAACTTCTTAGTCCAAAGTCTATGCAATTGTTCATATTAATCCGTGAAGGAGCAGGATTTAATGTTGATGGTTGTTTTCTGCCTTCAAAATTCTTGAAAAATTATGCAGGAGAAGGAGCAAACTTGAGAGGGTTGATAAGAAAATTGATAGAATGGTTCACAACATCAGACAATGAGAATGGTTGGTCAGGATGATCATGAAGATGTGTTAGCTAGAAGTCCCTTTGAATTTGCAGAAGCATTCAGGATCTTGAAGCATGAAACAAACAGAAGGGTTTTTTCCGATGGGATGTTTGAATCTTTTTAAAACAGGAGCTGAAAGGTATCGTATGTTATAGCTCAATCTTAAGCTTCAACTTAGCTGCTACTGTCACATTCCCTCATCGTTATTTAATAAAACTTGGGATTTGGGACATAGCTCATACAAGTCTACTTGAAGACACATGACCTATGTACGTCTATTTGAAGGCATATGTATTAGAATTTGTTATTGGATAATTAGTCCTTATGAAGGTGGGTCGGCGGGGAAAAACTATAAATTGAGCCAATTCCCTTCATTTTACAGTGAGAGAGGGCGATAAATTGAATCAATTTCCTTCGTTTTATAGACAAAGACAACTCAATCGAGAGAAAGAGTTAATAAAAGCTTCTCATTTCAGCCCTCTTTATTATGCTTCTTTCTTTCAGTCCCTTTTAGTTTATTTTAATACAATTACACCACTAAGATTATAACAGGATTCAGTTTATATTACATTGAATACTCTTAACTAAATAGATGTATTCTTCTTCTGAAGGTTCAATATTATTACTAGAGTCGACTACATTCTTTTGATCAAACTCAGGTTCAGAATTCATTTATTTATTTTTAAATAGACCAATTAATTTGCACATTTCACTTGCTAGAATTTTTAATTTTTTTTTATGTTAAATTTAATTATAATTTTTATCCCGTAGGTTAAGTATGTTATAATTTAATAAGATCAAGTCTCTTAATGCTGAAAACATGTTTGTTTTCATTATCATCTTCTCTAAACAATGCTATGGAGGGTTTGAAAGGTACAAGTGTATCACAATATTTATAGAATAATCTAAACTAAAATCATTAATTAAATATGTAATTAATTAGTGTTATATATATATATATAATAGATATTGGATTATACTTTTAATTGTATCACAAAATTTATAGAATAATCTAAATAAAATCATTAATTAATATGTAATTAATCAGTGTTATATATATAAAATTAATTAGTGTTATATATATATATTGATTACCTTTTAAAGTATCACAATTTTATAGAATAATCTAAAATAAAATCATTATAAATATGTAATTAATTATGGTTAATATATATATATTTGATTCAAAATGCTATATCCACCGAAAAAATTGCACCGAAACAAGTGGAGCTTCTTTTCTCTGCCAAAAGCCAAAAATGCTATAACCAAAATATACTAAAAAAAAGAAAATGTCTTTCACGCTTCGCACAACCCATGTGCTTTTTTGACCCACTTCTTCTTCTTCTAGTCTTTCCATGACTTCTTCGTTGACTCTCCCTCCACAAATCTGTTGTGCTTTTCGACGCCACTTCTGCTTCTTCATGCCCTTCCATGGCTTCTTCATTGAATGCCTCCATCAATTCTTCACTTGGGTCATCTAATTTGCCTTTTTGCAGCATGATAATTTTTTAGCAGTTAATGGAAAGAAGTGGGGTGCGTTTTGGGTTGTGCAAAGCGTGAAAGTGTAGAAAAGAGAAGAAGTAGGGAAGCATAGAAGAAGCCATTGGTTATGAGCTTTGAAACAACGTCGGTGAGTTGCAGAAGGTTATGGAAGATGAGAAGTTAGGACTTGAAGCTTGAAGCTTTTTAATTAGAGTAGGGATGCCCGTCCAAAAAAAAAGGACGCCGTCCTTACACAATGGACGGGCGTCCATTTGGAATGGATGCCCGTCCATTCTAGTTTTTTTATTAATTTTTATATTTAAAAAAAATTTAATAACTTTAAATCGTTGAATGGTCTGAGTCAGGAGACACGTAAGCCGGTACAAAATTTTGGTGTAAAAACCCCGGTGTCTGTAGCATTGTTGATATTGATTATACCTTTAATGTGTTTGTTTTCGTCATTATTTTAGTCTAGCCAATGTTGCAGAGAGCTCAAGACAGAGAAGTGGGGTCCGTTTGCCACACTTTTTTCCCCTACATATCCTAAAAACCAATATATATACACACCTTTACTGTGTTTGTTTACATTATTATTTTAGTCCATGATGTTGAGAGA